TTTTCCGTTTGCTGTATTAAAATACTTTTTTAGGGTATTACTTACATGCATATTTGCATTAAGTTCTTTTTTTATAATACAAAGGGAAGTGATATCGATTAATAGAATCTGTAGTTTGGCTTTAAAAACATGTTTTTGAAATAATGATCATGGCTGATCCTGTATGGAGAGAAAACACCAAATGTATGTGAAACGAAGTCGAAATAAAAGACATAGAAGATTAAATAATATAACAATTACAATAGGCGATTTTCATCCAGGAAGATTCTTATATTTTCATTTGATTTCTTTTTCTAATCATGTATCATCCTGTTTTTATTGCAAAGTAAAAAAAAATGAAAGAAACAATCTCCTTGCACCAAAAACTAAAAGAAAACGAAACATCTTATGTACCTAAATCTGCTTTTAATAATTTGAACTTCATTTCTTTAACATCAGTCTAATAGAATTGTATCTCTTTAATTTTGTGACAGTTCGAAGAAGAGAATTAAGCTAAATCTATGCATACAAACGGAGCCGTATTCACCCTTATTTAGAAACATACTAAATATATCCCATAAAAAAGGGCCTTGTAAAACATACTAAATATATCCCATAAAAAAGAACGATACGATAGTGCGAACTGTCACGTGAAGACGCGAACATGCAATATTTGAAAATCATGAAACTGCCATACTCTTTAATAATGCCTGATGAGAACGGAAAATGCGAAGATCTTGAAGAGTTTATGTTGTAGAGGAGTTTCACAGTGGAGGCTTGTATTTCACTAAGTCGGTCCTAAAATAGGTTCAACATACAAAATGTTAGGAACTTGATATAATAGGTAATGACGCAGAGAAATTTAGTGGTGGTCGCTGATACTCTTAATATCCGACATCGACTGACTGGCCAACTCGATATTTATTCCCCCCCCCCGACGAGGGCGTCATGTGGCACAAGGCCGGTTTAACGTGGGATCTCCGAGCCCGTGGGCTCGGCCAAAAATATGCCCATTGAACCCGTATAAACGGGTTCAGGGTCGGTTTACCTCCCCGAAAGAGAATCCGCCCTTCGGCGTAGCCTCTTTCGGGTTCCTCCCCGCCCGAAGGCAGAGAGTTCAACCGATCAGCCAGTCGACTGACTGGTCAACTCACTCAGCTACTGACTTAGCTACTACTACTTATTATAGATGGGAGAGTCTATTAACTATAGAATAGGTGTGTTCTAGTATAACAGTTTATATTTAAATATGTTCTAGAAACGTGATAAATGGAGAAAAATATAGAAAAAAAGATTAAAAAAAATCTTTTACAAGGCCCTTTCTATGCTTTTTAACTAAACCTGTATAAAACCCTTACTTATAGGCGCATAGTTTACAAAACAACCGCAACTCACTAACAGGACAAAATGTCTTGTCCGTAAGTTACAAATTCAGTTTATATATTTAATCTGATAGGAAACAGCAATACAAATAGCTGGGGAGGTTGTTAGGCGGGTGAGTTGGCGGCAAGATAAGCCAGACTTTCGTTCGCCGCTGCCATTCGACAAACAGAAAATAGAGCGCATTTGAAACTTTTGATATTTTTATCTCCATCTTTGTTGTTATTGGCTAGTCGGACAGACGCGTCTTTTATTCAGTGACTATATATGAGGATAGAACTGTGATACAAATACACATACATTAATACATATCAATATATATCTAAATATATATGCGTGCAATTATGCGTGCGTATGTGTCTGCATGCGTAAAAATGTGGGGCGTTTGTGTATCAGGGTGTGTCCATATCTATGAACAATAGTGAAAAGTATGTCGATCTCTTCTGCCAATACATCTGCCTGATAAAGGCACTACGACGTGGTGTAATGGTTAGCAAGCTTGTCTTGCTAGAACGATTACGACTGAGTAGTGAGTTCGATCATCATTGGGTACCCAATGTCACATCTAAGTTACACTTAAAATACAGTGGTTAGCTATATCAATTACGACTGAATAGTGAGTTCGTTCCTCACTAGGTGCCCCATACATTCGGTCTTGTGTTACATCTGTTACACTCAGAAAAACCCATTTGAGTACTTCGTAATTGATCTAGCGAGACAAGCTAGATCAATTACGACTGAATAGTGAGTTCGAACCTCACTTGATGCTCCATAGATTCGCCTTTGTGCTACATCTAAGCTATGCTTAGCAAATTACTGTATCTGTCTGATAATATATATATTATCGTCATATAATATTAAATACAAATACTGTACTTGTAATATGTTCTCGCATAAGGTGAGCTATTCATCATGATGGTAACAACTGTCTTGGAAGTAGATTGCTCGAAGTATGAATTTTTATCACCATCGCGTAGAAATACCGACCGGTGTTTAAATTTATTCATGAGTAAAAATATACATACGCATAAGCAAAAGTATTTGCATATGAAACCATTTTATAATGGTTCACAAGCTATGTACTGCAACATACAATTATGTGCCTAAGTAAAGTATAGAAATATTTGCATATGAAACCATTTGTATAGTGGTTGACAAGCTATGTAATGCAAGATGTAATTATGTGCCTAGAGAAATAAAAAAATTAAAATATTTTCGTAATTTTCAATTAAAGTTTTTATTTTCCATTATTATGATCGATCGATTGGTTTTTTTTATTATCAACCTTTTGCAGGTTATTTACAGCCACAAATTATTTTTAGATTGTAAGAATTTTAGGAGTTAATGATGTTTACTGATACAAAGTTTACTAATTAATCCATAGCTAGAGAGGTGAAGAGGTAAACTGATACCTTTCCCAAGGGTACTTGCACGTAAACTAATACAATAAACCCGACTGGAATTGGAACTCAGCTGTCCGATTTTCAATTCAGAGTCGTTATCTATTACACCACCCGCACATTCAAGCTTACAACACCTGGTATTCCCAAGCAGTCACCCAACTAGGTAGTGATTAGACTTAATTTCGTTGATCGTAAGAGAGCCAGTGTTTCAATGTTATACGGCCATAACCCCCCAACTATTTTTATGATTAAATGTTCGAAAACGTTTCAGATAAATCTAAGTTGATATTCGTTTGAAATTATATGAAGAACAAGTTATCTATATATATTGTTTCTTAATCAGTTAATGGATTTTTATAATCTCGATAATATTTCCTATCAGTATAAATGTTATATTTAGTAGGTGAATGTATTTTTTGGTAGACAACAGTTTTGTAAATAGTGTAATTAATATCTACAAACCTAGAAATTGGAAGTCTTATTAAAGAAAATGTATATCCTGACATAAATCATACCTGTATTCCTTTTTAATTTGAGAGACTACCTTCAAGCCAAGCATACTTTTACCATTAAGCTACAGGAAGCCTTTATAGTAAAGCAATTATTTCTCTGTTTGCACATTAAGGTTAATTGGAAATTGTAAACATATAAGTATTAGCAGTCACACAAACATGACCGGTATTAGCAGTCACACAAACATGACCGGTATTATGGTTTCAAGCCTTACCGAATCTGTGATACGCCCGCTACTACATCTCAATTTTCATACGGTTGCATACATATAAAATACAAATTTTATTGTAACATAATTATGTAAAATAATAGATCATAACATACTATATGTATGAACAATTCGGGCACCTCGGCGTGGTGTAATGGTTAGCAAGCTGGTCTCGATAAAACAGTTATCACTGGGTGCCCCATACTTAAGGCCTTGTGCCGCGTTTAAGCTACGCTTAGAAAATCAGTGTAGATGAACAATTCAAGTATAACATTGAAAATAGAGTGGGTTTAAACCCAAATTAGAAACACGACATAATGGATTATTCCATTTTAAATAAATCAACAATATTTTGCGGCAGTTTTTAACTTAATTATGTGATTTCTTCTTGATAAAAAGTTCAATAATGTTACCTTAAAAATTGTAACTAGATATTTATCTTAAAAGAATCCTCATATTTTATTCCATACATACCGAAAACTTTATTAAAACCCGACGTTTTGACGATTTTTTTGCGAATTTAAAAATCAGCTGGAAAAGTAAAGTTCGCATTATTTGTTAAAAATCCATTTACATGTGTTCTTAATGTTCATGAAATTGGGGTTACACACAAAAATAAATATATATATATAAACAGATACACTATGTATATTATTATAGTTGATAATTCATAATGTAACGTAAGTAAAAAAAAGTAAATGCTGACAAAATGGTGAGGGCAACAAAACATTGCTGAAACTCGCCCTTCAGAGGCCACCAAAGCAGACTTGTGCCTACTCTGGTCGTTGGGTTCAGGGATAGTAGTTACCACTGTGCGCAAATAAAGCAAGAAATATACATCAGTTTTTGATTCATCAAACTCAATTTTAAATTCAACCTAAAAATGTCGGATGATAGAAAAATACTTTAAAAAACGATTATATTTGTAATGAAATAATTTCCTTAAAGGAATGATTAACAAAATGTGAAAACGATGTTGCCAGCTTAATTTCAGCGCAAACTGTTTACCATCTAGTGTCTTGCTTTCAGTAACAACTCTACGCTATGAATCTCGTTGTAGGGGCAACGTATGTACTGTAACAACACCAGCAGTGATATATCTTGGGTAAGATAGCAACACATTTCTGACGGACAGGCTGCTTTTAAATTTAGAATTTTCCTTCACCTAGATTAGTTACCACCTCAAGGAAATAGAGCCCAGTGCGCTCTGATATTTAACCCATAGATGGAGGGAGAAGTGAGGAATTAATACCTTTCGCAAGATTAAAGTGTGTGAAAGTGAACATAACGAACTCAGCCGGAATTTGAACTCAGATCACCAAATTTCCGAGTCGTTACCGTACATCTTCCACTAGCGTATGATATATGACCGATATAATGATATAGCATATCGACACGCAAACATTATTAAATCAAATTCCTTGATCTCTTTTATCTTAAATATATTAAAAAGTTTGAAAGTAGAAGAGACGTCAGATACACTGAAAAATGATAAGTTTTGATTAATAAAGCCTTACTTGAAAAGTTTTTCACTGGATGGCAAAAAGAATTGATGCAGGTAGCAAGTTGACCAGAAGGCAATTTCAGTGGCTCATTGAGAGAGAGAGAGAGAGAGAGAGAGAGAGAGAGAGAGAGAGAGAGAGAGACAGAGAGAGGTGAATGATGCATGCAGTCATTGTAAAAGCTTAAGACTATACGGCTTGGTTACTGAACAAGAACATTGTTCCTCTGCTTTCCTGGTTAGCTTCTTTATTTCGTGATGCTAATTAGGGTGATTTAACATTACGAAATATGTGGCCTTCTTTTCTCAGTACAAAATGCATTGTCTCTCTTCTTTATCTCAATGAAGTATTTGCCTCTTTCTCATCGCACCTTCCATCTCATTACGTATCCGCCTCGGGCTGACTCAATCTACACAGAAAATACCGAACGATCACTCTTGCTTGGAGTGCTGCGTATTTTACATTAATATTGCGGTGGTAATATTAACTTGTAAAAATGATATTAAAATTGGCGTATATCCAGGACAGAAATGTTCGATCAGTAACAAAATATTGTGAAAATTTCTAAAGTCATAGAAGTCTCACTGTTCTATCGCTTACTTTCCAATCTCGATTAAAGTCCCAAAACGTCGCCAAGTCCTTGTGGGTTACAAAATAATATTCCACCCTCGAGCCTCTCCCTCACAGACGAGATGTGGCAAGACTCTCACTGCTTTATCGTTACTTTAATGGAAAGTGCTCGGACGAACTACATTCCTTGGTTTCACCAGTCCTAACCTTCAGGCATAGGACCCGCCATGCCACTCACATTTTAACAAACCACCCACATTACCTTTGTGTTCCATTGCTGAGAAGTAAGTTTCCCAGCTCCTTCCTGCGAACCACTGCTCTGTGTAACCGCCTCCTGTTTTTCTTGATAACTACAATCTGTTCAAGTCTAGGCTTAAACTTTATCTTACTCCCCTATCCGTATAAACTGCAGCTTAATATAATTCTCTACCTCGAGTGGCCCCTGGGCCTTGTACAAGGTGAACGCTACTGTAAGAAAAATATTCACTTCTTGTGATATTTGCTGTACTGGTTTGTAATTCGTTTTTTTGTTTATTTGTCATATCTTTTAAGGATGTGAGCGATCATTGTTCTCCACAACTTCCTGTTCCTTGTTGCTCTGAGCAACATTTAATTCTTTACCATTCCTCATTGTCCTCACTCTGCCGTCTATTTACTCGTTATTTAGACTACTCGCTGTTTTCCTCTGTCCCTCCTCCTCTAAGCTCGAGTCCGGAATAGACAGACCTGACCGGTTATATAAATTCTGATTTTTTCCGACCTACCCACTGTTATTCCAGACCTTTCTGTTTATTTTATTTCCACTTTTCCCCGATCTCTTTATTTTTTCCAACCTGTCCATTAATTCCAACCTGTCAATTTATTCAAACCTCTTATCTCTCTTTTTTTTTCTGAAAAGAATTTTGAATGAATTTTCCAATATTCTTTTTTATTCAAACCTATTATTCTATTATTACGGATTTAAGAGTGTGTCATATGAGCGTTACATTTTTCAGTCCCCCTTTCCTCATAATGTGTCCCAGAAATTTCAAGTACCACTTTCTGATTTTAAATATGTCCTTCTCGTTGCCATTTTTTTTTAGAACGTCCTCGTTGCTCACTAGTTCTGCTGATATTGTCAGTGTAATGACATTCACCATCTTCTGTCATTTTGAATCCTGTGCTTTCTTTTATTGTCCTCTCTACTCAGTAACTTTTTCTCAATTTCTTTCACTCTCAGTAACCGCTTGCGTTTTAGTCACTTTATCGCCTTACTAGAAGTGGAAGGGCTAAAAATAAGTAAATTAAATTAATGACTAATTCCATAGAGGAGGTACGGTGGAGTAATGGATAGCGGCTCAGACTGAGGAATCGGAGAGCCGTGTTCGAATTCCTGTCGAATCAATTACATTCACTTACGTGCTAATATCCTCTATTTTATTCCCCCCAGCTATGGGCAAATAGTAGGACAGACCAGGTTCTATGGCCTTGAATAGCAACTGGTCTACTGCAGTAAGAAATAGCAATCTACTGTGCCTCGCCAGCCTAAGCGACTGATCCATCTAGCCGTGTTTGGGAACCAGTCTAGGAAACACAACTATGAAAAAAAAAACATGAGTAGAAATGACAACCTACAGCGGGGAAAAATCTGCCTCGCCAGTTATGTGCCACGTAAGTCAGTTATGTATCACGTATGGCATATAACTGACTGAATTAAGCTGATCAACCAAAGCAGATATCACGTTTTAAAAACATCCTGCTCTTATGTACCATACCCTTTCAGGACGTGGGCGATCACCTTAATTCAATGCCATTTATTACTCTTAGCAACTTTCGACCCTTTAGCACTCCTCTTTGTCTTTGTTTTGCTATCCATTCACACAAGCCCGTTAAATACATTTCCCCTTGCTTCTGTTCTCACTGTAAACTGTGAGTGTTAAATTTTCCAAACTTTCTTTCTTCATAATGTGTCCCAAAGAGGCGTTTAACAATTCTGCAGAATTGAAAGGGCGTATGGACTCAAGGTGTTAAATAAAGGCAGTGTCTCAATAAAGTCACCGTGGAGGAAGCAACAGGAAATCACACCACTATCTCCTGAAGAAATCTCACAGCAATACATGACTCCAAAATGAAATAATATACATGACCCATGTAAGTGGTGGTATCAGAAAGTTTCCGGACCAGACCTAAAACTGCTACCCCATCACAACTGTAGATAATTTCTAACATGTGAAAGAACTCACGGATGTATGGGCGATGGATATAAAAGATAAATTTTTGTCGGGCTTTTTGCTGCTGATTGATTGCATTGAACCCTCATCAGCTTGAACCATACTCTACCAGCCTTGAAAAGCGAGTGCCACTAAAAATCTGTATTTGACCTAAAGAATGTTGGCTAAAAATTCAACGACTCCTTTCGAATCAAGGCAGATATTGCTGAGCTTGATGTCAATCATCGTAAAGATTGCAGAAACGTAGAAGATTCTGAAATTTTTACGATGATTACAATTTTTACAGAACATTAAAAACCTAGTGTATTAACTGAACATGTGTAGCTAGCAGGAAGCCAATTGGCAAACTGACTCTGGCGGCTGGGTACGAATGAGCGTAGGCTGCACACGCATTTCCAATGAACCTTACAATCACAGCAGATAGGGGACTTTCCGAAATCACTGATATATGGTGGTTCAGAAATTGTTTTGCTATTTAGAAACTGATATTTTTTTGTTCATGATTTATTTTGACTTATATTTTTACATAAGAAATACGGAAAAATAGAAAGTATTCATGGAAAATTATTTACGTGGACGACCCGAATTTTCTGCTTTTCGGCCTTTTATCTGACATTTTTCAGCAATGCTTGTAATATGTGCTTGAATTCTCTACTGATTGTTGTCTTTAAGCGACTGGATGTGACAAGCTTTTAACCTACACTCGGTCCTTCAAGAAACCTAAAAAATTTTTTAAAAAATAGGAAAAGAAAAAATATCTGATGCTATCAAATCTGTTAAAAGTAAAATTATTCGTTCCGTAATTATTTTACAAGTTTCTCTGTTGTGAATATTTTCTGTCCTAGATTTTTAAGGAATACATTTAAAAAATTGTATTAAAAGATTCAATTTTAAATCATGAAGTTAATTATAGTCTCTCTCTCTCTCTCTATATATATATATATATATATATTTATATATATATATATATATATATATGTATATATATTATAATCTTTTCATATAGACAAAATCAATTTACTCACTACAAAGATGCAACTTCGTTTCAGTGCATTTAAATTGCACTTCGACTGGTGAGAACCAAAATGTTTATGAACAATTATTGCTCTACTATCGGTATGGAGCCCTCTTTTGAATTAATGCTGTGAACGTTAGAATTTATATATTATTTTCGTTCTCATTGCATTCGTATAAATATATATATATATATATATATATATTGCTAAAAACTTAATTGTTTTATTTTTTATCCGTCATTTTTATTGCTCCAAACCTTATAATGTAGACTTCGTATTTGAAATAGATTACTTTACTTAGATTTCCCGAATGTGCATGCTGGTAGACATAGTATACAGTGTTTACTAACTAAAAAAATTGAGCGTGTATTTCAATGAAGGGGTATGCACTATAATAATGTTATATATATATGTTTCTTTTTCTAGTTGGCATGCTCTTGCTCCTGGTGTAAAATTAGCTCTGTGCATTTGAATGTGTGATAATTCTTATACTGAGATTAGCCACATTTCTCTCAAGTTTATTAGTTTCGGAATTTATAAGTAACATATTGCGCCTATTTTGGGTTTTTAAATTTCCCATTTCTTTTTGGGTTTTGTAGATGGAATAATTTAAAATTCGTGCACATGTGCAGTCATACCAACATAACATATTTAGTACGATGAAGTCCTAAAGAAGGAAAAGCATTTCACTAAAACCTTTGTTCCCTTTGTTATACATTTACCCCTGGCATTATCCTCGATATATAAAATTATATATATCGTTATCTCATATATATTTATATAAATAGAAAAATGTGAAACGGTATTTTAGTCCTGAACAAAGAGGAAATCGTGCCAGAAGCAACTTAGTTGCATTTAACTTAACATGAGAAAATGTTATCTTATAGCGAAACATTTGTTTCATAGAATTCCTAGATATCTAAGGAACATATTTCATAGATCGGAGGCCGGTTCGAGCAATAAAACTTTTCTTGCATGTGCTCCGCTAAATTGAACAAATAAATACAATAATGTTTTATATAATTGAATAAAAATCAGTGTTTCTTTAATAGTCATAAACTATTTGGAGACGGGAGGAGTTTACACAAAATGTGATGCGTTCGTAACAATGTTCAGAAGAGAAAGTCTACAAACTGGCAACCAATATTATTCAGCCTCAATTATGCATTGATCTATGAGACGTTTAAAAGATTTACAGTCAGCGAGAGTCGCTTGGGGCAAAATATCTTCCAGTACATAGAAAAGGGAAGCAACTTCGTCATTCAACCGAGAAAACTTTATTATTTTCAGTAAGATTATAAAATGCGAGATGTCACCATTTTAAAATGGCAGTCTTCATAACAACTATTCGTATTTCTCTTATTGTTTAG